AATCATATTAATATGACTTTATTATGAAAGTTTTTACCTGTTACAGAAACTGTTATACAAGCCCTAACACAGAAGACATGCCGACGTTTTGACAAAAAAATTAGTTTCGAGGCAATAAATTTCTTTTTGTTTGCTTTCCAGTTGAAGGGACTGGAAAAATCACTTTGACTCGCATGAAATTTCAACTCAATGAAATAAAATTACAATGATATAGAAGGAAAATATTCGAGACTCAAGCAATTTCAATAGAACAATTTCAACTTTATAAAACAGTTTAACCAAGTCAACCATTAATGTGCTGTAGTTATATTACCATGGTAACATCTTACTATCAAGATTACCATGGGATGTTAGATAGATTAGTGGACAACAACAAGCCTTTCAATGGACAACAACAAGCCTTTCAATGGACAACAATGAGTCTTTCAGTGGACAACAATAAGCCTTTCAATGGACAACAACAAGCCTCTCAATAAACAACAATAAGCCTTTCAATGGACAACAACAAGCCTTTCAGTGTACAACAATAAGCCTTTCAATGGACAACAACAAGCCTTTCAATGGACAACAACAAGCCTTTCAATGGACAACAACAAGCCTTTCAATGGACAACAACAAGCCTTTCAATGGACAACAACAAGCCTTTCAATGGACAACAATAAGTCTTTCAATGGACAACAATAAGCCTTTCAATGGACAACAACAAGCCTTTCAATGGACAACAATAAGCCTTTCAATGGACAACAACAAGCCTTTCAGTGTACAACAATAAGCCTTTCAATAAACAACAATAAGCCTTTCAATAAACAACAATAAGCCTTTCAATGGACAACAACAAGCCTTTCAATGGACAACAACAAGCCTTTCAATGGACAACAATAAGCCTTTCAATAAACAACAATAAGCCTTTCAATGGACAACAATAAGCCTCTCAATGGACAACAACAAGCCTTTCAGTGTACAACAATAAGCCTTTCAATGGACAACAATAAGCCTTTCAATAAACAACAATAAGCCTTTCAATGGACAACAACAAGCCTTTCAGTGTACAACAATAAGCCTTTCAATGGACAACAACAAGCCTTTTAATGGACAACAACAAACCTTTCAATAAACAACAATAAGCCTTTCAATGGACAACAATAAGCCTCTCAATGGACAACAACAAGCCTTTCAGTGTACAACAATAAGCCTTTCAATGGACAACAATAAGCCTTTCAATAAACAACAATAAGCCTTTCAATGGACAACAACAAGCCTTTCAGTGTACAACAATAAGCCTTTCAATGGACAACAACAAGCCTTTCAATGGACAACAACAAGCCTTTCAATGGACAACAACAAGCCTTTCAATGGACAACAACAAGCCTTTCAATGGACAACAACAAGCCTTTCAGTGTACAACAATAAGCCTTTCAATAAACAACAATAAGCCTTTCAATGGACAACAACAAGCCTTTCAATGGACAACAACAAGCCTTTCAATGGACAACAACAAGCCTTTCAATGGACAACAATAAGCCTTTCAATAAACAACAATAAGCCTTTCAACGGACAACAACAAGCCTTTCAATGGACAACAACAAGCCTTTCAATGGACAACAACAAGCCTTTCAATGGACAACAATAAGCCTTTCAATAAACAACAATAAGCCTTTCAATGGACAACAACAAGCCTTTCAATGGACAACAACAAGCCTTTCAATGGACAACAAGCCTTTCAATGGACAACAATAAGCCTTTCAATGGACAACAACAAGCCTTTCAATGGACAACAACAAGCCTTTCAATGGACAACAACAAGCCTTTCAATGGACAACAATAAGCCTTTCAATAAACAACAATAAGTCTTTCAATGGACAACAATAAGCCTTTGGACATGATGGCTAGACTATCACTCTGCGATTGTTTGGATGTGTAAATTTCTCTGGACTTTTTGGTGTTTGTCCAACATTAAGACCCCCTGCACATGACTATTCATGTAAAAAAAAGCAATTAATCTGATTTCATATCATATATTCTTTAAAAGGAAGTTTACACATTTACCATGGTGCAATACACCAGTAGTTGTATGAGGTTACATTGAAAGTTTTCGACTTCATGGCAAGAAAGCAGATACGATACAATGAACAAGCGTGGAAATGTGACTTTTCTAATGTGACATTTTATCTGGAAGTTTAAGTTGCCTTTAACTTTGATGGCGAGTTGTTCTGACACTAAAAGAGACTTCCTGTCATCGTTAGATATATCGTAACAGTATCTAATGTATTCTGCAGCACCACAGGCTCCAAGTTCTGCGTAGGTTCATAGTCAACGACACGATGCTCAACCTTTTTAGAGACACGTTAGTTTCAGTTGCTGATATATTCATTTCAAAACTACAAATGAATAAAGGAATTTTTCAAACTCTTGTTTCAAAATAAAACCGATCGTATATTCAATAACAAAAATATGAAAAAAATATTTATATGTGAAATTTTAAGCATTCTGAAAAAAAAATTAATTTCGAAATTTCTGTTAGTAACTTTAAAACAAATAAACAAGTTCTTAGCAATTTGTCTAACCAAGAAATATTTGTAGCTTGGAAGGTTGATTTGAGAGTTACCTATATTTAGACAAGAAATCAATTATCACAAATCTTCTTGTCCAAGTAATTTAGCTAAATTTGTTCAAAATGCACAGAAAAAGATCCTAACCTAACGTCTGCGAAAACTGACAAAAACACGACATTGACATTATGATGACGTCATTGTTTGACAGGCAGTGCACTGTGTATGCCATTCCTTCGATACGTAAACTAAGGAGGGGCAGTCACTGTGACAATGACAATGGAGCTACAATTACAGAGCTGTGTATATATATAATGTAGTGAAAATAGAATTTGTAAACGGCTATTATTGGAAGCTTACACAGAAATATAAAATAGACATAAACTGCTGCAGATATTATCAAAGACGAGGCTGGAAAAAAATGTCTACATCACACAATCACAACAACACCATAAATAAAATTCCTCCTTTCCCATAGTAGAAACTCAATGAAATTCTAGCTCGTTAATTTGCTGATAAACATCAGAATTTGTGAAACAGCTCTTTATTATTTTAATGCATTATTGATTGATGAACAGAGAATTAATTTTTCAATCAATAAATTAATAACTAGTTACTAATTAACCCATTAACTATTAATGAATCACAAGAAAAAAAAAATTAATTGGTTAGTCTTGTTAATGACTATTGAAAAATACAAATTACCCGTTGATGAAGCGTTGTTTTCCTGATGAAATAAGAATACAGAACAATTTTACTGTTCTGATCAGTAAGCTACACCCAACAGCAAAATCCATTCATCTGTACATTAAAACAGAATCTAATTTCTGTTGTGTTGTATAGTAAGTAAATCTGCTATGGTATTTTTAAATTTAAATTACATGGTTGGTGAAACTCTGACAGCTTTCACAGTTCTAATGTGAAAAATAAAACTTCACGGTTCATTAACATGCTTCAAATGGCACTGCAAACAAGTTTTTTTTTAAGTTTTCAAAAAAAAAAAAAAATTTTCAAATTTTGCATCTGAAGTTGTGTTACAGCTTCATGGCTCCTGGTCATAACGGGGATGATGTTGTATACAGCATCAGATTGCGACAGCTTTAATGTAATTACAAAAGACAAAAAAAACATTTTTCTGTAATAACAGTTCTTATACTACATAAACCTCACTAGCTTGATAAGCAATATTCTGTAACATTTTGCTGCCATATTTCCCCGAAGTGTGACAATCCCAGAAGTGAATTACATCCACATTGTGCCATCCCTTTTATGAAGCACGTTCTATCATTTTACATTCTGTAGTGCTGTTCCACATCTTTTGATGTTTGTAATCATGAGCTCCTGGCAGCAAACACAGTACAGCTAACGTATTGACCATTAGGTCTAGTAAGATGGGATTCTATAACTTAACAGAAATATTTAACAGACTCCTAATACATTTTACACTTTGAAACCAACATTCAATACGTGGCATTTTATAGTTGTGTTGTAGACATTGCAGACAACACCATAGATGATAGCCAAAGAAAGTAATTAAATATATAATGTCATGGCATTGATGCAAATGTTTAGGATACAATGGTTTTAATGCCCTCGACACTTTGAGGAAAGGTAGGAAGTATATATAGTTTTACTGTGTCTGTCCATGTCGTCATACCCTGTCATGTTACATCTTGTTTGGAATTAATTTTATATCTTGAGAACCTCTCTAGGATTTGTATTATATTTAACTGATAGCACCATAACATCAAGTTCTACATTTGGATAGATTCTGGTTTGCATTGGGGCAAAAAATTCATATCTCATAGACGTTTTTTCCATTTCATTGTTATTATTATTTTTTTAATTTTGAATTTCTAAAGAATCTTTCATGTATGTTTAAAGAAAAATTTTAATAAGCATTGTGAATTTACTTGAACATGACTAACAGACCAAATAAATTTCCCGCTGTGGTTGGAAATGAAATCCACCATTTCACTATCAAACATGTCCAAAATACATTTGTCCCTGACTGAGACAAGATCACAGCATTTATATATATACAAAATCAATTTCTGTGAAGGCCACCTATCAGCTGTATTGGCCTCCACAGACTAACTGTCACAGTGAAACCTAAACAAAGAATACATTCATTGCCAAGTCCATTAAATTCACTTCTAAGTAATACGGTTTTAGTACAGAATCCGGCAGTTTACCGAAGAATCCCTTAAAACAAACAAAACATCCCGCAACTAGAAAGTGTGATTTAAATAAAACCTATTTTAACTAATGGGTCTATATGACCCAGCAACAGAGGCTGATGTACAGGTCAGCAGGTTACCGACATCCTCTGATGCGTTTCAATATATCAGAACGTTACATGACATTTCCCTCTGCTCTATACCTACACTTAAAGCTTGTTTCTTTTTGACATGCATGCCTTGAATCTCTATATACTTCAATTTTAACAACTCAAACACAATTTGGGACTTGTTGGGTGGGTGGGGGTGGAGGTGGAGGTGGGGGTGGAGTTGGGGGTTGGGTGGAGGTGGGGGTGGGGGTGGAGGTGGGGGTGGGGTGGAGGTGGGGGTTGGGTGGAGGTAGGGGTGGAGGTGGGGGTGGAGGTGGGGGTGGGGGTGGGGGTGAAGGTGGGGTGGAGGTGGAGGTTGGGACGGAGACAATGATATATATGATATAAATACCCAGGATTTCCTGTAACAACCCCAGGGATAGATACATGACTTCTGACTTAGAGTATGGCAAGTCAATGACATATGTGCAGTGTTAGTTGACATTTCTACTGAAACTGTATTAGGAATCCTCAGAGATGGGCTTATTATGGGACAATGACACCATAGCATTTGTCAATTAACAATTCTACAAAGTAGGCATAGATGTGGGTGGACTAATTATCAGCAATTTGCTTATTATTGGCTAAATATGGCAGATAAACCCCTCCCCCAATAATAATTTGTTTATATTCAGACAATGACCCTAGATATTCATGAGATTACAAAAGGTTTAACTGTAATCACAGAAAAAACGTGGACAGAAGTATCATTCCTGTAGTTTTGACTGCTTTCACCGTTTGACCTGTATCAGATCAACCTTGTGTGTATCATCATCTATTGGTGCCTTATATTTGATTATATATTGATTAAGATCGTGTTTGGGGGTTGTTATTATAATTTGGGGGACTTCGTGTGTTGTATGTATTGATGGAAGCACAGGTAATAAATCACTTTAAATTGTTTTTGCAGGGATGTAAGTTTGTTTATAAAGGATATGTGTCATAAAATTTACGACAATTACATGATCATGTGAATTTTTTGTTTAACAATTAACTGAAATAACATACCACAGATATATATAAAATCATCATTACACGTCCATTACACTGTCTGTTTATGCATCAATGAGGCATAAAACTTCGGTACATATGTACTAAGGTAAATCTATGATGTCACACTGTTATATAATCAGTAGACTCACAGGGTTGAAGATTGGAATATTGGAGAAGGAGAATTAACCTGAAATGTGAGATTTTATAAAATGACACAGATTTGTCTGTAGAATGTACAGCTATGATATTAATGACAGATTTTAAATCTTAAGTTTTAATCCCTAAATTTAAAGCTTCTTCCAGGTAGAAGAGAATAATTTTTTTATTTTCAAAACTTTAAAGGTTTGCTTAATCAGTAAAAAGTCAAAGAGAAAATGTTTCCAAGTTCCCTTGATACATATTGTTTGGATTGGTATATGCTAGAAGACATAAGCATTTTGACTGTTCAAGGTATCTCAGTTTCCACAAGTTTCCATAAGTGGCATTGCTCAAATAAAGTTACAAAGCAAAAAAAAACTCACCTGATGTTACCACACTAGTCAAAAAGCTAGACAATATCAATAAGGTATGAATGCCCTAGCTATGCAAATCAGAACATGACCAAGTGTATAATTTGATGCTATAAGGTAAATATGAACCACATATGTCAAGAGGTTCTCACGACACGATACAGATTCCGTGCGGGAAGCGACAGAAATATGCACATAAAAATCGCAAAGTTGTGAAAATCTCGATAAACAATGAAATCCTAATCAATATTAGGAAAACTTATTACACAACAATCTGGAATTTATTTTCATATCTACATCAGATATCGGTGGTCTTATCACAAGTCAACCTGTCTGAGAGATATAGAAATGACTTTATATGATATAAAAGGCTCACTTCTTCAAAGTGTTTACCTGAATTATCTAGAGTTTATCAATTATTGACTTATTTATAGATATTTGTAACAATTTGCATTTGATTATTGGTGCTTAAAATCAAGGTATACAATTTTTTTTTTTTTCTATCAATATGTCATTCCGATAAAACAATAAAAGGGCATCTGTCAATTTAACTCAAAATTGAAAATGTTAATATTTCATAACATGTCATAAAAATTTTTTACTTTGTCAGAAATAAAAGATTGAAATGAACTCATGATATCTGCAAAGCAGAATTTGTGTTATAATTTTCTTTAGTGAAAATTGAGGCCCATCAACCCACAACCTATCAATAAAAGTGCCATGGCAAGTTTGATGTGTGTTATAAGAATGATACAGGACTGTGATGCTGTAATTAATAGTCATCTAGAACAGCTGCATTTAACAGATTCTCAAAACTACTCTTTTGTGGGCAATTCTAGTTATTTAAAATATTTGGCAATGGATGTAATTGTTAAAGTGCACAGTTTAAGAATAGGAATTTGATTCAAAACTGCTTATAAAGGAGCTAAATTTGAGGATCAATGACTTTTCTCATTGTGATTTCTTATCTAAATAGTTTACTGTCTACTGTGTCAAGTTGTACACAGGCCTCTCTGTCTATTGTGTCAAGTTATACACAGGACCCAGTGCCTACTGTGTCAAGTTGTACACAGGCCTCTCTGTCTATTGTGTCAAAGTTGTACACAGGACCCTCTGTCTATTGTGTTAAAGTTGTATACAGGACCCACTCTCTACTGTGTCAATGTTGTACACAGGACCCTCTGTCTATTGTGTCAAGTTGTACACAGGCCTCTCTGTCTATTGTGTCAAAGTTGTACACAGGACCCTCTGTCTATTGTGTTAAAGTTGTATACAGGACCCACTCTCTACTGTGACAAAGTTGTACACAGGCCTCTCTGTCTATTGTGTCAAAGTTGTATACAGGACCTACTCTCTACTGTGTCAATGTTGTACACAGGACCCTCTGTCTATTGTGTTAAAGTTGTATACAGGACCCACTCTCTAATGTGACAAAGTTGTACACAGGCCTCTCTGTCTATTGTGTCAAAGTTGTATACAGGACCCACTCTCTACTGTGTCAATGTTGTACACAGGACCCTCTGTCTATTGTGTCAAAGTTGTATACAGGACCCACTCTCTACTGTGTCAATGTTGTACACAGGACCCTCTGTCTATTGTGTTAAAGTTGTATACAGGACCCACTCTCTACTGTGTCAAAGTTGTACACAGGCCTCTCTGTCTATTGTGTCAAAGTTGTATACAGGACCCACTCTCTACTGTGTCAATGTTGTACACAGGACCCTCTGTCTATTGTGTTAAAGTTGTATACAGGACCCACTCTCTACTGTGTCAAAGTTGTACACAGGCCTCTCTGTCTATTGTGTCAAAGTTGTATACAGGACCCACTCTCTACTGTGTCAAAGTTGTACACAGGCCTCTCTGTCTATTGTGTCAAAGTTGTATACAGGACATACTCTCTATCAGAAAGATAAGTCTCACACATGCTGTATGAAACTTCCAAGTTCATGGACCATAACCACTGAATGCCATTTTTCTTTTCCATTTTCCAATTTCCTCGACATTTTCAAAATAACTAGTGCCTGTATTCTACGGTTTGGGTTACACCCACAGCACTTTGTTGCTGTGAAAATGGCTAAAGGACCTTGTGTTCTGACAATCAAGGGAGACAATTGCAGGCATTTAACGGTTTGAAATCAAACATGAATTGCCGAGACTGTTAAGGCAGAATCCAATGGTAATCTAATTAATATGTGTTAGTGTGCTAATTAGCGATGGGGTTTAGAGCTAATTACCACTGAAAAACAGACTTTCTAACAAGAATCGTTGAAGAGGGTAATTACCTCCCTTGTTGTCAATAGGACCACCCAATCATCATGATCTGGCTAAATATAGAATCACAACAAAATCAACTACAATTTAACCATGCTTTTTGTCTGTAAAGAAGCCATTTAACTACAGGACCGCGAGGGTAGCAGTGTTTGACTGAAGTTTTTAGATAACTGTATACCATCCCTTTTGATCCTTGTAAAAAAATAATGAATTTGAAAAAAGACTTTCTAGTCCTCCTGTAGTGTCTGCCACGAAATCAATACTTAACCGCATGCATGAATTTGTAATTAAAGACAATATGTATTTTATTTAAACACATTTTTTGCATTTATTTTACATTTGACCTTGATGGGAAGGTCACAGTAACCTAATTTTAGTGCAATGCACACTGCCTTTTGGTGAGACTGTCATATCTATAATTTCATCAAAATTACATCATGGTTCAAAAGCTATGGCCCGGCAAGTCAATGTGTATCATATAACTTTATTTACCTAACAACAATTGTGAAACTAGTTATTCAACTTCTATCGATCGCTCTAGTTGGTTCGGATGTAAGCATGGAGGGGTCTTAATGTGGGAGTAAACGGCAGCACCCTGGGAAAACCAACATGGTCAGATGGGTGGTCATATGTATATATCTTATCTGAACATTTCTTGGCCAATACTTTAATGCATTCACCACAAAATATTGTGCAGAGATGAAAACACTCACTTTCCAGAAATTATAACTGAAAACTGTAATAACTATGAATTTCACTAATCTACACTTTTCTCGGTTTAAATTTAAAAAAAAAAAAAAAAACATTTAAAGTTAAAACTTAAAATTACAAAAATAAAAATTATGTTTCAGATATGTCCCTTGAAAATCCCCCACCCCATCCCCCCACCCCCTGGAAATTCAATAATTAATGTTCCTTATTTATCATGATGTAGTGACAACAAACAAATGGGTGTGTGTCACAACATCTATAAACTATAATATGATAATATACAGATTTCCACATGGAAAGGGGCCATGATAAGGTGGCATACATCTTTAAGTAAATACCATCATTACAATAACATATGCAAGGACACGCAATTTAGATTAAGATGATATCTACGAAACACTCTCAGGTCTCAGATTACCAATGAATTTTTAAAAGTTCACTCACACACTGCATTCTCAAATAAAATAAATACATTTCATTAATATCAATCATCTGAGATATACTTTATTTCACAATTTAATAGGTATTTTATATATTCCCTAAGTATATAAAACTCCAGGGCATGTGATAAACAACACTGATAAGAGGTAAATGAAATAGTTTACGACTTCAGAATCATGTCGCCAAAGTTACAATAATAATTTGTAGCCGTCAAATGTTGAAAACTCTATGGTGTCTCTTTCGATGTGATGATTTTAATCAGTAGTTTTCCAATTCCAACTATTCTGGGATTTCGTTATCAAGAATTAAAATCTGTCATTGTTTAATCTGCACATTGAGTTGAGATGTTTACAGTATGTGTTACGCAGTCCATTAGGCAAAGGACCGAGATGCAGCGACCTAATTATCCCAACATGCAACAAGGTCGTTAAGCTATATGTCAAGTTAATGTACACAAGACAAAT